TTATAATTTATATGTAGCAGCAATGCTTAAGCAACATTACACAAGAAAGTGGGTTTAAAAGGATACCTCATAAACCCCCTTATCCGTTTAGTAAATAAGGGCACAGGGCACACTTAGAAATAGGTTGGGAAGGAAACCTGAAGAGCAAAGATAATGGATTTTATGCAGATCTAAATTTAATCTCAAGCGTTGCCCAAGAGGCAACAAAGAGAAAAACTGTAGCAGCAGAGCATTATAAGACTCAAATTCCATTTATTAAAAGTGTTCTTGTCTTTTTCTCTCCCTTATTGTAAGCTTTAAGCGTCTCAGGCTTGCTCTTTTGTGTGGTGCTGACCAACGGAATTTCACTGCCCAGTCCTGAGAATTTGGCTAGTAGAAAGAACCTCAGAAAAAAGGAGAAAACTTCTTCCCTCTTCCCTTACAGCTACAGAAGAGTAGACAAGTCTTGCTTCATAAAGTTATTTCTGATAATGTGGTAAACTGAGAATAATAATGAAAGTATCAATCTTAGTCTGCTCTCCAGTATGGAGACTTGCAAAAAAATATAAACTTCAGTTTTCTGATTAACAAAGAAGTCTTTTAAGACATCTATGTGATGCCTTCAGAGATTGTGGTGAGAAGTTATAAAATGTAACCTCTAATCTCTGAAAAGGCTGCTTTCTAACTGGCTGCCTTGCTTGATAATATGTTGTTCTGGTCATAATATTTAAAGTAGCATCTGTGATTTTTTTTTCTGAAGGAATAAATACCTGTAAAATTTTCTTATTTTATTTTTTGGTTGGCCAGAAGAACTTGATATCCTTCTCTTTTCCCTTCATATATAAAGTATACATAAACGATGTATTCCTTATTCAAAGTTTGACAGTCTTTGTCCTATTTAAATTATCACACCCAAATTCAGCTGGCAGATAACACGCACAAAAGCATGAGACAAACTCATCTGCTAAAGAACCAAAGAGAGGAACTATTTTTAAAAGGGTTCTTAAAAAATTAAGTACATGTATACATTAATTCAGAATTGCTTTTTCCTCTAACTTCTTCCTAAATCGGAGAGGTCGGACAGTGGTTTAACTCAGTTGGCCTCCTTACCATCATGCTCCACTTAAATCCCGTGTAGAGGGCGTTTATTGGGTTCTCTGGTGTCAGAGGAAACTCTGCTCAGCTCCTTGGCCACAAAGAGTCCTAACCCCACTGACTCACTTAATACCTGTATTGTGACTGACGCTGAGGAGCCTAATCTTGGTTATAACAGATAGATCATCATTCCTACGGTTGATAAATCATCATTCCCAGGATTGGCTTAGCACAAATAGGACACATCTCTTTCTCCTTCAAACACATAGCTCCAATTCACCTAATCTTTTCCGTACATTGTAATTCTACTTCTCCTCTGCTTTGTTTTACCTGCCAACATATATTTAAAAACAATGAAGATATACTAAAAAAAAAGTCCAGTGCAACTTACTGTAGGTGGATATGACTGACCTTCTGCTGTGCAATTTGAGTCATGTTTGATGAGTAATGAAATAAACAAAAACTAAAACGCAGAGCAAGCCCAAGAACCAACCCTTAATCAGTATCTTTTAAGAAAATAATTTCAGCTAAGGAAAAAATCTGTTCATCTTCACAACCTGCTGACTCTCAAAAGACTGATATCATGCCATTTTTAAAAAGAGTTAAAGAAAAAAAAAAGAATCCTCTGCTTGCCTTCATAGAAAAGAATACTTTTTCTCTTGATTAAATGTTTATTAGAGAAAATAAAACCCAAAGGAAGAAATACAAAGCAGGTATAATTAAAAAGGGTCTTTTACATGTATACGGTGATTGACAAACAAAAATGTACAACCAAAATTTCATGATGTTATAAACTATTAAGATGTCAATAAAAAAAAAAGGTCTTATAAAACAAAACAGTGAATGTAAGAGTGCTTTATTACCCGTAAAACCCCATACTCATGCAAAGTAGGATTAGAACCATCTCTGATACCAGGCTGGCCTCTACCCTGGAAAAATCTTCCGAGGGTCAAGTAGGTGTCTGGGGATGTCATTATGCCCACAACTGTGGGAGCCGGGTTAAGAAATCAAAAAGAACACAATGCCCTCCAATCCAGCTGCCACTGGAACCAGGAGGCACCCCTCTCAGAAGGCCTCTCCCACCCCCCGGGGTGATACCTCCTAGTAGCCATTCCTGCCCAGTGGGGAACCGGCTTCTCCAGAAACTCCGAGAAAGAGCAGCCCCTTCTTCCCACTGCTGGAGGTTCAAGTCATAAGCCACTTTTGCTCCTATGTCGAAGTGAAATCTCTCTTCCTATAAGTACTACCTGTCCTCTTCTGTACTCGGGAATTACTCAGAATACATAAAATCCCTTTGCTGCATGACAGACCTTAAATATTTGAAGACAATTAGGACACCTTCACTTCCCTGCCCAAACCTTTCTGCAGATTTAAACATCAAAGCTGGAGATGTGAAAATTGGTGTCATTAAGCCAGCACCTACCTAACTAGTCTGGACCATCAACCTGATTCAAACATTTATTGCACTCTTGGCGTGTGAATCATATAAAGGCACCCAGTCGTTGCCCTTTAAGGATATTTAATTCAGGAACTTTTTATGGTTGGCCTTGTTCCAGATAGAAGAAAAAAGGCCCATGTCTTTTCTTGGCGGAAATATGAAAAAAATGCTTTATAATATAAAAATAAGTATTTCTTAAAAGCATCAACACTGTTATTAACATCAGTATTGTTGCAAATGCACGCTACCAATTAAGTAACGATGACGCTAAAATGAATTTATCCAACGACTGACAGATGAAAGAGTTAAGACCCCAAATGAATGAACTTCTATTGTAAATAAAAGGATTCATTTGTTTCTCAAAAGAATTAACAATAAACATATCTAATTTCCAAGAAACCGGTTTGATATATTTACATGTGCTACAGTAAAAATCTGTATACAAATAATTGCCATGTATTTTAGATTTTAAATATACCTAAACTAAATTTACCGAGTAATTATAACATGATGCAGAGAAATAATAAAAGCTATTTCAAGGTTTTTCAGCAGTGTGTATGTATATGTAAACACATGTATATATACAAATATATCACAAGCCTTAAAACCTTCTTCCAAAAATATTTCACATAAGATGAACATTTAGGCAAAAGAAATACATAAATTCAAAACAACCTTGGAGGCGAAAGTCACTTTAAATGTTAGCATCTTCTTCCTAACAACTCAATGGCAAGAAAACGCAGATTTCTTGACTTTGCAAAAAAAAACCATTTAATAAAACAATAACTATGCTCTTTAAGTAAATTTCTAACTTAAAAGTCTTAAAAAACAGCAATTTTGGGTTTAACATTCTTACAGGTAGGTTTCGGAAATGCGTATTAAAGTGTTACAGCCTGGTAGCCTGTATTTTGTTATAAGACCGATTACTGCAACCGAAATTACAGAGCACGATTATATTTCCTCCTAGGCTACCTCATTTTCATTATTGGAATGGATCACACTGCTAAATATCAAAGCTTGAAATTAAACGATGCAGGTCAGCATGAAAACGCAAGTTAGATCAACCGGAGTAACTCACTGTGGTCGACGGCAGGCAGCTCCGCAGCCAGGCCCGGAGCTCTGCTGCCTATTTGCATTACGCTCAGTTCCATGAATCACAAGCAAATCGTTATTTAGGGTAAACTAAAGCCCACATCAAAGCCTCAGGGAAGGGCTGTAAGGTAGAGTACTTACGAAAAGGGTTACCAGGACAGGAGACAATGCAACTTATCAGGGAGGGTCTCTAACGTCCACACGGTGGTAAAACGCATTTAAAAAGGCGATGTGGATTCAGACGGCCTCCTCCCCACTGCATGCCAGACAAAGCAGGGCCAGGCCCTCGGGCGCTCCCGGTGCACCTGCAATGCGGATCCTCACCCTACAATCCACCCGGGGACGGCAGCAGCAGCCCCCGGGCTGGCGTCTCCTGCCCCATCGGTGGTTTAGGTGCGCGGTGCGGACGGCCCGCAGCCTGGACCGGAGCCCTGGCCAGCGCATCCCCCTCCCCATCACCGGCTGGAAGACCCTGCGTGCAGCCGGCGCGGGGGTCGCTGCGCCTCCCTCTTGCCTGCGCTCCCACCGCTTCGTTTCTCTCGCAAGGGGACACCCTTCCCCACCCCGAGCCCTGGGGATGGACGGGAGGACCCCCCTCCCCCTGCAGCCAGGGCTTATACAATAACCTCAGTGAATCCCCGCCCGACAGGTGCGCGCGCCCCCGCCGGCGCCCGCGGAGCCTCCCCGCAGGTACCGCCAGGTGAGCGGGGCTGGACTCGGTCAC